CGGAGGACCTTCAACCAGGCTACTGGGCGACCATACATGCGCCCGCTAGCTGGGAGCAGCACCAGAACACACCACCGCAGAATACATTCAAGAGAAGAAAACGTCAAGATGGTATGTGCTTCTGCTTTTTATATCTAGATATTTGGAAGGCAGCTCTAGAACAGGGAGTGATAAGAAAATGAAAAGAAAAAAAATCTAGTGAGTTTGTTAAATAAAAATGTGAAAATATGTTAATGCAAAAATAAAGCTTTTGAAGTGTTAATAAACCCATGTTGATCATCCAGTGCAATCTTCCATTTACTTGAAGAGTTAATTTAGTAAAGAAGAAATGGATAGGAGAATTTTTTGTTAATGATATTAAAGCTGTATTGGCCTAAAGTTTTAAAGGAAAGAGTTAATTACAATATTTTAAGAGTTAAGCTAATCGCTAAAGCCAAAAAAAGGAAGAGGTGTTCATGGCTCAGTTTAGACGCTTTAGACCTACAACAGAAGGTCTTTGATTCGATTCCGGGGAGGCTGGAAGCCGTAGGCATGTCTTCTTATACCTATTGCTCCCTTTCATCTAGCCGATTGTTGGGGTTGGTATTCCTTGGGCTGGGCTTTGAAATGAACTAAGGTAGAAAAACAGCTCTTAGCCTATTAATTCAAAAGTGTAGGAAAAAAAACGAGCTACACCAATGATCAATCAAGTGAAGAGGTGTTTTAGGAAAGAGAATAAGGAAGATGTATCAGTGTTGAGGAATAATGAAATAATTACTCTCTCTCTCTCTCTCTCTCTCTCTCTCTCTCTCTCTTCTCTCTCTCTCTTCTCTCTCTCTCTCTCTCTCTCTCTCCCCTCTCTCTCTCTCTCCTCTCTCTCTCTCTCTCACACACACTCTTGCTCGCTCGCTCACTTACTCGCTCGCTGATGGATGTTGTAGATGAATGGTATATAATACCGACAAGATGAAGAATTAGATACATATATAACATTTGGGTATCCTTATTTATAGACTTTTTGCCATCTAGTGGTTTTATCAATACAAATTATTCCCATTACGTCCTTGAATTCTGTACTGATAAAAACCACCGGAAGGCGATACTGCTACAAATAAAGACGTAAATAGATCGTGTAGAGTGCAATATTGTAAAAACAAAAATGCTTATGAGCAATGTAAAAACATTTGGGGAAAAACTTAACGTAAACTGGTAATAAATTACTTTCCGTACGTATGTAACAGAATTTCTTAATAACATTTTCAGAGGTCTTGCATTCAACACCAGCCAACCTGAGAGTAGTGTCGATTGGACAAGACTACGTTGACCTAGAATGGCAGGTCAGTTTCACATATATATATTGAGTGGTTCTATAATTAAAATAAGTCAAATATACGACTGGTAAAGGACAGCCAGGGTACCTGTAGGATAAATGTAGTCGAGTCTGGGGGGTCTTTCACCCCTCTCCCTTTCAGTCCCAGACTGATGTTGTTGTAACAGTAGTAGACGATAATGGCACAATAACAGTACAGTAGGTGAAAACTATTCTGAATATGTCGCCTGCATAGCACGTTTTTTTTTTTCAATTCTGGTAGATCCTATTTGGTTTTACCATAATATATAGGCAGGAGAGCGAGACATATAATACAGTCAGGTGTACAAAAGAAGTTTAGGTATAAAATCAGGATGCCCTCTCTTGAGCAACTTTACCAGCAGCTGGAATAAAAGCTTAGGATTGCTAAGATGGAGATACGGCGATTAACGGAGGACAACAAAAGGATCCGTAGTAACCCTCCTGTTGTGAGTCCCTGTTACAAAAAACGCGATTTCTAATAAGCTTAGAGATCTCCAGTGAATACTAGAAAGGACTGCCCTTCTAGCATTCAGCCTGTTATCCTATTGGTTTTTACAACAAGTAGTCAGTATCCTGGTCCAATTATCCAATGGTAATACAGTAAGAATTATTAGTGCTTCAGGATTACAACTGGTAGGCTACTAACTAGAGAAATTAAAATTTAATAAATTTATTAACAACTCATAATACTAGTAGTACTATTATCAAATTAAATTTCTAATAAGCTAGTAGATTCAAAAATAATAATAATCACTTCTCATCGTGTTACAGAAAATATTGTTGCTGAAGGTACATATTCACATTTATATGATCTTAACGTACCGTCTGGTACATTTTTAAACATTTAATTAACCAATAATACATACTATACATACATTACCAATATCATATATAATTATATAATATTATATATATATATATAATATATATATATATATATATATATATATATATATATATATATCGTGTCCGAATATGTAAAACTGGTCAATTAGTAAGAACTCATTTAAAATTAAGTCCTTTCTGAAATTTTCTCTTATAATTTAAAGATATATTTTTTTTCATTAATGTTAATGCAAAAATTTTTAATTTTGCCACCAAAAAATCTTAGAAAACTTACCTAACCTTATTATAACAAGAGCAATTTATTTTAGCCTAACCCAACTAAATATGTTTTAGGATTTGTTTAAAATAATTTAATACTAAACAAAACCCAGGGAAATATATTTTTTCGTTAGGTTTCAGAATGATTTTGGCGAAATTATTGCATACACAAATTTTCACTTGTCCTATATGGCAAGATGAACGTTGCTATTTAAGCCAAGATCGCAAGTTCTGCTATTCGCAACGACATAATATATATATATATCTATATATATATATATTATATAAGTATATATATAGTATATTTATATATAATATATATATATAATATATATATATATATATATATATATATATATATATATATATAATATATATATATATATATATATATATATATATATATATGTATGTATATATATATATAAGTTTGTGTGTATGTGTGTAAGTGCTCTAAGTAGTTCGCTATGTCTCACGACTCGACTAGACTTAAACCAGTGACTGACAAAGTCCTCACATAATCTAACTTCTTGACCACCTGGCAATCAGAACAGCTTGCTTGAACAATAAATGACCGCTAAGCCCAATGGCTATATAACAAGCAACTGTGACACAGAATCAGAATCAAGGAGATAATATAATGACACTAAGTAGGGACCATCTGCAGATCCTCCACAAAAGTCACAAAACTCCCATACTACTGAATCTAAGTTTAGCATAAAAAATCCTCGACTGTGACAGTACACAGATACCAGTGCAAATTAGGTCAGAAGCTACAGCTCAGGACCTGAGTTGCTCAGAGTACAATGTCGAAAAATCACTAAGTCTATACAATGTTCTGTGAACAGTTCTACCAAACCAACAAGAAGAAAGCGACAGACGATTCTCCAACAAGGGCCCACAAGGAAGAGTTAAGCACGTCTTGTCAGAAATATGCCCAACCACCAAGAGAGTCTAGCCCAGACTGACCACTTCAGGTGAGGTGTGAACACCCCCCTCGATCACGTGATAGCTCCATGGACAGTTGCTGCCCAGCAACAGAGAAGCTGGCAGAGTAAAGAGCCACGAGCGATAATTACAGTAGTTAGACAATCAAGACTTGAATAATGAGCACATAATAATATATGAATGTTACATCCTACCTAACTTAAGTAACTAAGTCAAATAATAATATAAAGCAATATATTTACGATTTAGCTATTATCGCAAATATAAGCAATATAAAATAATATGAAAAGGTAATATACATTATATACATTATGACCCATTCGGGGGTTGCAACCCCCCCCCAAACACACAAACGTCCATAGGATTTGCTTTAATGTTTTCACATTATTACTGATTACTCGTTTTCACTTTAATAATAAAATTTTTAATAAAAAATTTAAATCAAGTCACTTGTGCCAAGCACTTTTTAATTTTCACATTTCAACACTTGTTTGCCCAGTTAGGCAGTACACATTTAAAAATCTCGCTACTCGGGGTTTGTACATCTTAGAGACGGATAGCGTAGACAAGCCTACATTTTGAGGTCGACGTAGAGGGGAGACACAATGAACAATAGTCTTGGGAGAAAAGGGAGCAATTTCCACTTTTAAGTAGTGGTTGTGGAATGCGAGGCAGTTGGACATAACATAGAACATAAAAAGGGGGGAACATGCGGCCTGCGGCCCATACTAGCAGGTCTGCGTAGGGGGAAGCTTAAGGTGTGTAGTGGGGGGGGGTTGTGGCGGGAGGGGTTCCCCCAGCAGTAACATCACCCACACAACCTCAAACTCACACTCAGTTCTTCCCTCCTTACACATGCTTTCACCACTCGTAAAATATTAAATAACATAATTAGACTAAACATATTAATTAAAAGGCTGAAGATTACTTACTTTACGAATTTGACATAGAAAGTAACGAAAGGTTTTTGGGCAAAAAATTAACTTTAAAATTTAATGAAATGAAATTTTTTAAGGACGTACAGAGCGTCACAATTATTTTAAAAATCCCCACTTTATGTTTTATACAAATAGAGTGGGCTGGTTCGGGTGCCCCACCTCATGACCCCTAGCTTTTTTTACTCTTATATGCTTAGTGGTGATGGTTTTCTGAAAAAACGTTAATTTAAAGGGGAAGACCCAAATACATTCAAAAGTTCCAAGGACACCACAAGAGCTAGAGCTTTTTCTAAATATGGCAAAATTTTTTGGTGTCGTTTAAGTTAAGAATATAACAAAAGGATTTAAATGTCAGGGGGGATGTTGATGGGGAGCAGCCAGAAACCCACTGCATAACACTCCCCCAATATTTAAAAAGAAGAAGATCGAATTAGGACTCCTCCAGGAACAAGGAAAGCAGACTCTTCAGTCTTTTGAACAAATCGAACAATCCTTAATCCAGATGAACTAAACTTTTGCTACATGAACACAGTGAGGGTGTATGGAGGTGGTTGGCAGGCTTCCCGTCACTTGACACACGTGGAAACGTCGCACTGATATACGGTTTCTTCATCTTTGGCCAAGTAAAATGTTTTGCCTTTTACCGACTCTTCTTAAAACCAAAATGCCCTCCTAGGGACTTTTGGGCAAAATCAATGGTTTTTCACGAAAGTAATGGTAACACACAAATGCTTGACTGTGGGGGAAAACTACCAGCTACAACTTACATAAAACATAAGAACAAAGAATGGGGGAACACTCAGAAGGCCCTACGGCCCCAACAAGGCAGGTCCTTATCAAAAGACCTCTACCCAAAGCTCCCCAAGAATTAACTCCCGTACCCAATGACACTAATCAAACCGGGCCATCCAGTCAAATATTTGTCCAATCTCTTTTTTAAAGTACCCAAAAGGTCCTACCTCTATCCCCACTGGGAAGATTTTTCCACGCATCCCAACTCTGAGAAAACCAGTACTTACCTAGTTCTTTCTAAATCTAAATTTATCCAACTTAAATCCATTTTTTTGGGTTCTTACCGGGTTCGAGCCCTAAATCCCTTTTTAAATTTTCCCTTTTGTTTATCCCCGTTTTCCATTTACCCCTTTAATGATATCTATTCCCCTTTGCTAAATAGTAAAAAATTATCGAGATCCTTTTTTTCACTCCAGTAACTGCTATATCTCTCGTCTTTCCGTGACTAAAAACAAACTGACCCTTGATTAAATCATCATATTTAAATTTTAACGCATTGTGTTACTGGGGTTGATGACAAGGGGAGTGTTAATGATCCGGGGCGCAACATCCAAAAAAACATATTAAAGCCCAAATAATTTCTCCCTAAACCAACAGGAGACATGGATGGTTGTTAAATTTTTTGACATAGCTTAGTAATTGCGTGAGAGGAAAAAAAATAGCTTCTCTCTACAAGTTTCAGGGCAAAATTTTTAACATGTTTTTATAAATCACAAGTGGTTCCTTACTATACCAGCATGAAGGATATCGTTTTCCCAACAACAAGTCCACGACCTGAGGGGAAATACACCACTGGATATCCCCACTGAAATTAACCATAAAAGCTTGTTTCAATGAAAAACTTTTGCAGAGACTTTTATAACACCCCCCTCCATAGGTTTTCTAACAATACATCTATTTGCAATAGGATCTAGTTAGGGGCTACATTTCTCAAATAAGGGAGATAACTGCCAGGTCTTGAAATAATTACTCTTTAGATGTTTCTCAAATCCTTTTTTACCTCTCATAATAAGGACCATCGTTTGAAAAAATCTTTTCTCAGATACATTTTCTACGTATCAACTATCCTTATTAATATTACTAAAACAGTGGGGATAAAGGGTATTACAGGATTTTGGTCCCTTTGTTGCACAAAAGAGGATAATTTGAGGGGGGGGGCGCCGGGCCGAACACTGTTTGTCTTCCTTTTCAATTTATACAACAC